CTTGAGATTAATGATTGGGTTGTTTCTCCCCATTATTTTGTGTAAAGTCACTTGGAATAATTAGTGTCTCATTATTAACTTTCAGAATTTTTATTTTTGTTAGTAAGAGAACATTATAAGATGATTATCCCGGTGTCTTTCCAGAATGTGTGTAATATCGCTATCAAATACTAACTAACGGACATTGTATAAGAGTTTTAATTATTTTAGGATTAATCGCAATATGTGCAAAGTGTATTCCCCAGCAAAAAGGCTTCTTGAATTTCATGAAATGTAGTTTTCTTACCTACTTACCTGCATCATGGTTAATTTCGTCTATCAAGAGTGAATAAAATATTTTTTCCTCTATGTGTAAGAATTCAGGGTGAGGCGAATCTGTTCCACACCCATGTTAATAAAATCGCTTCGCTCAAAATCACTGAAGAACCTTTTCAATGTTAAAGTTTCCAACAATGGAGATGTTGCATGTGTGAGGGATTTGCGATTCGACTGTTGTTTCTTATGTAAAAGTTCGCGAGAAACACGATGGTGCCACTGGTTTTCTCCGAAATCATCTCCCAAGCTAAAAAAAAGCTCCCAAAGTGAGGCCAAAATGAAGGGTATATCCCGCCCTACCCTGAGAGTCCACCTCTACATCAAAACAAACTCTCCAGGCAAAGATAGGGAGCAAGTACATTGACAGGGCTGCCACTTCATTTGGGGACTCCAAAACTGAAAATATGGCAACCCTGCTATGTATTTGCTCCCTATCTTTGCATGGAGAGTTTGTTTTGATGTAGAGGTGGACTCTCAGGGTAGGGCGGGATATTCCCTCCATTTTGGACTCACTTTGAGAGCTTTTTTTGAGCTTGGAAGTTGATTTCAGAGAAAACCAGTGGCACCATCGTGTTTCTCGCGAAATTTTACGCAAGAAACAGCAGTCATCTGGTACACTGAATTTCTCAGATACAGACGGATGGAAGGCTTTTGAATAGTCCTGAAATTTCATCCTACCATGAAAATAAGTTAGGAAAGAACAGATTAGATTGCCTGACATGACACTTGTAACGTTTAGTTTTCAAAGCCAATCTAAAAGCCAAACACAGATATCGATGGGAAAACGTGTAAATTAAATATTTTGATTACGATGTTCAAAATTTCAACTCCCAGTTCAAATTTTTAAAGAAAAGCAAGTTGACTTATTGCTTTAAATATTTCCAGAATTTCCTGCACATAGAGAGAAAGGCTGTTTATAATTGCAGGAACAATTTACCCTGTGAACATTTGTAAAAAATTAGATTTAATTATTTATTTTCCTTTTTGAAATTGTTACCAAAAGAAATAAAAATACGAAATTTGAAATACACAACCTGTCAAGATTTATTGTCCAAAAAAAAAAAAAGAGCTCGTAAAATTTAATGAAAACCCTACCTGAATGTTATCTAATCCTTAGTAAGAAAACCTGAGAAAGCGTGTTCTCACCTGAAAATATCACGCTATCACATTTACGTTATTTCCAAAACCTTGCTATGTAACTGCCGAAACTTCTTACGTTAAAGTATAACGTAAAAACGTTATTTATGACACAGATACAAGGTAATCAGGTCACATTTGCGGTCACGATCAACATAAAAAAGTTAATAAGAATTTTCAAAAAGTTGGAAAACATAAAAAAACAAACTGACATCAGCAATGGCCATGCAATTGCTGTACTTATGTGATATGAGAATTTCCACCCCCTTTGTCTATTCTTCTTACTAATTTTCTCCTATCTGTCTATTCCTCCTTCAATTATCGTAATGGCAATAAGCGTTGCCTATGAGTAAGGAATATCTTCGCCTAGTAGGTTTGTAGTATCCCAGATAACATTGGACGTTTGAAGAACGTAGATAGATATCTACGTTCACCGTGAAAAGTTCTAGAAATGCTTCGATTCCCACATTAAATTACACGTTGTCAGTCCAATACGTAATGTTGCAGAGGCGTTCCGAGAAGTATGAAAATGAGAAGCAGCTGCTGCCAGATGGCGCAAAAAATAAATATTAAAATTATCGGATCGATCTGGTAACATAGCATTTTACAGGTTTGCCTTGTGGTGGAAAAAGTAATTTAATTATTGCCTCGATCTGGCAACAACGCATTTTACAGCCAAGTCTGATGGTGCAGAAAAATTAATAATGAAATAATTGGTTCGAATTGAGAGTAGTGGCACTCGATTTAGCGTCGCCTTCCGGCAAACATATCACAAGCGCCATTTTTACCGAAATTAGGTTATGGGTAGTTTTGAAATAACGATATGCATGTAGGTACATACGGAAATAATCATTTTTTTTCAGAAAGAAAAAAAATGTAGAAATATGAATGAAAATCGATTTAGGTATAGATCGTCACCTTCTGGCCAAAGTATCACAAGCGCCATGCGACGTTTCAAAATTTCCGCCGCCATTATATTTTTTTACGGAGTAATTGCTCTACGAAGCTTTCCGCAAATTTCACCTAATTTTCTATGTGCTGCCGACAAAATTCAGTGAAATTCTCAGACAGATTCAACCAACAATTTCCCTGGAAAAAATAAAGTGACGGCGGAAATTTTGAAACGTCGCACGGCGCTTGTGATATTTTGGCCGGAAGGTGACGAGATGTACTTCCGTACCATAAGCACCATTCGAAAGAAAAATATCACGAGTGCCTAGTTCGGCAACTACCCACCCTAGGAATGACTTGAAGCTAACTTATTTTCGTATGTAAATGCATTTCATTATTTCGGACTTACTATTTTTTTTTTAAATAAAATTAAATGAATTTGGAAAATACTCCGTTGAAGTCGATGAAGTTATGTATCACAAATGCCATGTAAGAGGTAAGTTATTAGTATCACAAGCGCCAAGTTGGGTAGTCGCTCAACTTTGGGATTTTTTTTTACAATTTCAGTATTAACAATACTTGGAATGACCTGGACCAATTTGTCACTTTCTGGCCGGAGTCACCGAGTACCACACAGGAAGGTGCATAACTCGGCAACTTCACGATTTTCCATTGAAAATATATGGGGTCGAGGATCTATCTTCTAGGACCTTCTATCGTAGAATAAATAGCACTATTTATTCTAATAGTCTATTTATCAGCAGGGCCGGATTTAGGGGGTGGTCACATGGGCCGCGGCCCATGGCGGCAAATTTAGGGGGGCGGCAAATATTGACTTTTTTTTTAAACGTAGGTATAAAAAATTGGATTCAGAACAAAATTGCAAACGAGAAAAGGCGACAAAATCTCTCATTTCCTGAGAGTATAGTAATTTCTAATTTTGTCGTCTTTCGGCGATAAAAGAGGCAGCACCTTTAATTAGTCGAGTTAAGAGAGAAACCAAGCACCCAATTTGGCCTGGAACGGCGCGGCGCAGAGTGAAATGATGACGAGGACTTGAGATTGAAAGGAACAGCCCTCGGCGCGTTACACATATTAGCGCCTACAAGACTGCAAGAATACTTCACGCATTGCGTCAAACACAGTGCGGTCAGCAGCGGTCGGCGGGAAACGCATGGCGCCTACAAGAGTGCATGAATACTTCGCGCACTGCGCCAAACCAGTGCGGTCAGCGCGGTGCCGGTGCGGCAGCGGAAGTTAAAATTATTAAACCCCGTTTATGTTTTGCACATTTTTTTTCTAAAAGTGTGTTCAACACGAGTAAACGTGTCTTATGCAATATCCGCCCCCTCCGGCACGTTCACTTGATGGTTTTTATTAAAGTTTCAGAACGAATGAGAAGGGGGCGGCAAGTAGGTAAATCCGGCCCTGTTTATCAGAACTAGTCTTTTTTATAGAATAAATAGACTATTTATCTATTTATTTATTTATCTCTTTATTTATTTATTTATCTATTCGTTTATTTATTTATTTATTTATTCTTATGGTCTATTTATTAGAACTAGTCTTTTTTACAGAATGAATCGACTGTTTGGATTGCATTTTGCAAAAAGGAACCAGGAGCATTGCAATGTTGTTAAGATTGTGCGACCTCTTTTGTCTTGGAAGAAAAATCTGATTATTAACAGTTTCTTTTTTCCTCGCTAAAACCTGTAAATTCATGACAAAAATTACCATGTAAATTTCATACTTTTCCAGGATTTCAATAGTTTTTTTTGCAAAGGATGAAGTTGCAAAATCTTAGCAACATTGCAATGTTCCTGGTTCCTTTTTGCAAGATGCAATCCATTTAGTCTATTTACCTACTCTATGCTTCTATTGGCACGCTGCGTTGTTGCTCCAACTCGGCCCGATGCATCAGTGTGTTATTTTTACTTTTTTTCTTTTTTTAAATTTCCCGCTAGCATATTTTACATGACAGCAACCTAACTCAAATGCTGCGTTGCCGGATGTTACTTCTATCTAATGTTACTCTCCTCGTGGAACATTTTCGACTGTTTAGTTGATAAAGAGATGCAAAATTTTGATAATCCAGATTAATAAACCGACAGTGGGGGTTTATCAAGGCATGAAAAATCTCTCAAAATCAAAAGAAGAGGACTTCATTTGATTAATTTGATTGACTAGTCATTGGAAGTTTTAGTGTTGAACTCGTCGAACTGGTTGAACTCACTGCTCCGGCAGGGACGAGTTCTATAGGACGCCGTTCTGTTGTGAGCGGGTGATTGCAGCGCATTCTCGCGTAGGATCCTAGTCAACTCAGAGGATCCTTCCCCCCGAACCTCGACTCATCAGGTTAAGCTGGAGATTGAAAAATAACACATAAGGCGGCTGAATTCTTGAAAAATAAGTATATTTTTGGCGTTTTTCGACCCCTTTCGGCAAGGAAGGGCCCGCCGCATGTATTGATACGGTGAAAAATTCGATTTTTTGCAGTTATACGCGATCCTACGGATTTTAATGAAGTCCAACAACTGATAACAGCAGTGAGTTGCGAGGATCCTACGCGAGAATGCAGCACTAGTACCTGCTCACGAATTTTTACATTGACTCTTACGGGAGTCCAGGGTCCTATAGAACTGGTCCCTGGCTCCGGCCTCTTCCAAAACAAACCAGCTCTCGCTTTTGAGGTTATCATGTCTATGTTATTGCAGTACCTCGCAAGGTTTTCTGTTATTCCTTATTATATTGCTGTTGGATTTTTTTCCTCAATGATTGTTCATAGACTCTATCGAAAATAACAGTGCGGCGCAGAATTTATTTATCGAAGTGTGGACATGAATAAATAGGAATTCTGAGCGAAAGTGATTCTACTTCCTCCAAGTCATTGTGTTACCGTGTCCTCCGCCGCAGCAATGTTCGGAAGAATAATTAGCTTCTCTGCTTCCAATCTAAAAGCATTGTTACCAGCAAGCATTAGCAGATGCACGAGACAGCTTCACATTACTGCCCCTGTTGCGGTCAAACAAAGTAAGAGTCTTTAATGATAACCTTTTCTCTCCCACACTTCGGCTGAAACGAAGTTGCTTCTTACTTTGGTACAGAGCTGAGACTGCTTCATACTAATCAGCACAAATAAATTTTTGTTGATTTGTTGGTGTGCAAATCGAATGAAGCAGCAGCACAAAGTTCGATCAGCAGTAGTTAGTTGCATAAAAATGGCGTAAGTCCGCAATCACATATCTCGTTTGCGGTGTCTGATAATCTGCGCCTCCATGTTATTCTTCTGAAAGAGAAAAAACTGACATCATTCCTTGAAGTTTTTGCAGAATTTCTTCTGCACAAAGAAGAAAATTTACGGCAGTTTTAAAGAATTACTGTTTAGTAGTTTACCGCTTAAAAAATAAAGTGTGACAGAAAGTCTGCGATGTTGCAAACTGAGTTATGTGATTGCCGACTTACACTATCGATAAGCCATTTAGACTAGGAGATGGTGATTTCATCATCTCACAAGAAATTTTGTTTTTTTTGTGCTTTGTCTTTTTCCTTCAGTAGTTGTGCACATACCTAGCTCATTGTCCTTCATCAGCAACATCACCGGACTTGAGAGATTCCTACCACCTAGAGTGCCGTTCTCTCCTATCACTGCCACTTTTCTTCATTCTGATGTCACCTCCTGTTGAGAGGGTTAACCGCACCATCTCTATCGCCTTTAATCTTAGTCAACATTATTAGACTTTCTTTTCATATTCTGTTGCGGAAACTTCCAGCACAATTATATCACTCTACTTTTTATTTAGTCTCATGATGTTTTGTTCAATTCTACAATTTCATGGATTTCTGTTGCAATATTTTCACTTTTTTTTTCCAGTTATTGAAACCCGTAAAGACAAGCAACTTATAATTGAAGGTGTTTACATGAATTCTCCCCGTGAGGAAACTCTGTTGAGACACAACGAAGATTCTGATGCTTGTGCAGTTTGTCGTCTAAACGTGGAGATAAAACACACGGTAAATTGGTCCTTATTTTGCAAGTAGGAACTATCGATTTCTTGGGATGGATTACTTGTGAACACTTGTTTTTCCTGGGCGTGCATAAATTTTGTGATCTAGGATTTCATCAAGGGGTTACTTTCCCCCATTGACTTGTAACACAATATAGACCGCGCACTAGACCTGACCTTAAGCCGGGGAGGTAAGACAGCTAGGGGGGTAAATCAGGGTAAAGATGCGCCTTCAGCTTAGTCGATACAGCCAAGCTTCTTAGGTGATATGGAATGGGTAAACTTTCTTTCTAGATGACCCTCTTAATATCATATTTTGTCCTATTCTCACAAATCACACTCTTTTCTAGGATGTGCTAATTTTGAGCCAGTTTATTCGAAAAGATGGATGTATGCTACCTCGGAGGATCACAGGCTTATGCAGATTACAGCAGAGACGAATTGGCAACATGGTAGCGATGGCAAACAAAGCTGGTAAGATCCTTTCTGTTTAACACAGTCGAACACTATAATTTTTTTACACTTTATTCGTGGAGTTATTTTTTCTATTACAATGAAGATGGACGTGATTTATATCCATCAGTTAGCAGTAAAATGAACTGGAAACTGGCAGTTAATGAGCAAGGATAAAACTTTAGTCTCGCTCCATCATTTTTTGTTTCTCCTGAATTTTACTCGGCGGAAAAGAACTTCTGAACCTTCAGTATTCCAGGACAAAATTCTACAACCAGTTTATATTCATTAAATGCTTGAAAAAAAAAATTACTGAGGGTGATTCGATGGACGCCACATTATGTGTCAAAGCTACATGCTATGTATCGCATCGACTGGTTCTATTTTTTCAGCTACTCATCATTTTTCTCAAATTTCGAGATCGCAATTCTGTTGTCAGGAGACTAAAGAATTCACTCACTAATTTTGACAAACAAATTCAAAGTAATATAGGCGTGGTTTTTTTAGGGAGAAAATATTGCATTCGAGTGCAGTTTCAATATCAGTATCGAATGCGGTACTTTTCCTCTGAAAAAACTATGCCCTAATTACGTTGAATTTGTTTGTCAAAATCAATAAATGAATTCTTTAGTCTCCTGGCAACAGAATTGCGATCTCAAAATTTGAGGAAAATGACAAGTAGCTGAAAAAATGGAACTAATCAATGGGATGTATTGCATGTCGTTCTAATACAAAATGTAGCATCCACTGAATCACCTCAACTGCCACTCAACCACTTCTTCTTATGCACCATATGCATTTGGTATGATGATATGTGTATCAGATGAACTTAAAAATTTAGCTCAGATAGAGCTGTACTTAATCAGTGATCTCTTCATGTTGTGTACAGAATTATTTCTCAATTCTTTCTACTCTACAGGTTTAATGACATCTCTACTTCCGAGGGCCCGAGAGAGGGATCCATACAAGAGGCGAAAGGAACATCTCAAATTCAAGGTGTACTACGATGAGTCCACAATCAAGCCGCCCAGAGACCCGTTTGCTCCGCGGAAACTTGTCCCTAAAGACAATTGGTTCTAATCCTTGACCCGACGTGTCTCGCTACTGATATCATTTTGGAGGTTGAATGTCTATAATCACAGAATTTGTCAAGTTTTTTACTAGCAATCAAAGCAACATCTTCTGAGAAAAATAAATTAATACAACCCTCAGTTCATGTGCTGTATTTTTCCGGTCATGAGCTCATTGCACGGGAGTTTGTCTCTCCTTTTAAGATCATATTCCTTATTTCTACATTTTTTTTTTTTTAAACACCAAATGTTGCATTAAAAATAGTGAGATCTTGGATTAGTGATTGCTACCTGTAACATGTATTGGGAATAAAGTTTTTATTGTTTTTATGCACTTCTTTCTTTTATTAAATCCAATTAATGGTCCTGATAGTGCGCCTAGAATTTTTGAAAAAAAGCTTTTAATTGCGCTTATTTGTATGTACTTTGTCTGGACAATTTCTAGCTCTACGTTTGTGTAAAAGCGAGTGTAGTTTTTTTTCTTTCATAGGTAACTTAAGGAAAGACAGAGAAATAATAAGATGAATTCAATTTACATTAGTTACCATATATTTGATTTCGTAAAATAAAATAAAAGTGCTTAAGAAGTAATAATTATAATGATAATACATAAAGAATATTACAGACAAAATATGCAAAAATCATGATAAAGAAGAAAAAATACAATCAAAATATGCTAACATGATAAAGAGAAATATATAACAAAGGTTTTTTCCAGCAAAAGGTTGTGATAGTGTGTATATAACAAATGAGGAAAATTAGGAAGTAACAAACATCACACGATTATGTACCATGACGTTAATAATTTTGGTAACGATAAACATAGTTTTTGTCACAAGGATGAACAGCTTTAAAATATCCACTCAAATCAAACTTATTTTAATGCAAAACACATTGGTCAGAAAAAATTCAAGCATTGAAAACTGCAGCCTATGTGTTGGTGCTCAAAAAATAGCAAAGTGTGCAGGGTTTAGAAATTGCTGGGCTGAAAAAATTCAGTTATCAGCATGAACATTCGAATCATTCATGCATTTTTCTTTTTCAGCGCTAGTCGAAAATGACGAGTTCAATGGATTTTAATAACAAAATCAAACTTCTTTTCACTTGTAGCAAGGAAAATTAAAATTGTAAGAAAGAGTTCCCTACTTCTTGGGGGAAAAAATAACAAAAGAGAACCAAAAATAAAAATTGAGCTATAAACATATGATGATAACCATAAATAATAAGTAATAAATGTTAGAATGAGCAATCAAACTGGTTTCAATCATAATTAACCAGGAAAATATATACAAGAATACTCAACGGGTAGAAAGAATGAGAAGAGAAAGGCATTTTAAAAAAAAAACTCAGAATCTTCTAAATAAAAAGCTGGTACAACACTTCTTCCATAATTTGTTAAAAATAAACATAATAGGAAAGGAAAACACATTAAGAGGATAGGGGGGGATACTTAAATTACTAAAGAAAAAGAAAAAAAATGTACTGGGTGGAAGAAAATTGAAAAAAAAAAAAAAAAAAAAAAAAAAAAAAAAAACAGATCCAAGCCAAGAAATAAGAAAAAATGAAAATCTTTCTCTTGCGTTAATGTACTCAAAATGAGGGAGTGAGTTAATAGTCGGGTTCTTCCAAAGATGACATCAAGAATTCTCGACTGCTCACCTGGATTGATGAGGTAGTCTCGACCCTTGACCCATTTCATGTAAAAATGAAGAACCAACTGTAAGCGGCAGAGCTACAAAGAAAGTAACAAAGCCCTATGTTTTGTTCTGAAAAGTTCAATGGTTAATTTGCATACACAAGCAAAGCCCGAAAGAAAGCAACTTTATGTACAAACCAGCGCAATTACAGGCAGGCACCTAGCGCAGTAAGATGTTGAATAAAAATACACACAAGTTCAAATATTAACAACTACGAGAGAGATTTACATTGTTTACTCGCATGAAAATGGAAAACGAATACTACATTAGAACTCTTACCTGGGTCCTTTAAGTAGTAAGGGATAATATTCGCCAAATACAATTTCTAAATTAGTTTCTACAACTTCAAAAGATCAAAATCAATATAATATAATAAAATAATAATAATTGTGAATGTTGGCTACATCCTTCTCACTCTCAAAAGAGAGGGAAGAGGAGCCAAGATGGAACCTAAAATGAGACGTAACACATGTTATGTGCAAAGAATATACCTCAATATATAGCTGAACATATGTACATATAATATATGTATATTATTATCACTACCAAGAGACATGAGTTCGCAAAAAATGCATATGGGGAAGAAATTAAGTGAACACTACTAGTTCCAAACGCATTGAGACATTTACAATCAGAATTTCAACTACCCTTAAATGCCCTCCTTAGTAATAAAAATCCAAAGGCACGTTGAGTAATTTAATCAGAAAAATGAACTGGTGTCCGATAAGTGTATAAATAGAAACAATGTATGAATACATAATACATACATAATACGTTACAAAATACATGTAAAACACAAATGTATAGATTCACCAAGTTAACAAAAAACTTGCTCAAAATATCAAGCGATAAAGTACAACAAAAGGTTTGTACCCATCACTTTATTTCCTAGTGACAACGGAAAATCTAGAAACACAATCAGGCACTTCTGAGATATGGATACAGAACCACATCAAACAACAAAAAATTGGAAAAAATCATTTTTAATCATTGAAGTATTTTTATTTTTTTTTTTTATAGTTTTTTTTTTTTTTTTTTTTTTTTTTTTTTTTTTTTTTTTTTTTTTTTTAAACATTTTCTTTTTTCTTCAATTTTTGTAACTTACTTTACGTTTTTCTTTGTTTGTAACCTTAACTTTGACTGGGATTTTTACAAAGTTGAAGCATGGAAATTTCCCGAGTTAAATTGTAATTATTGCCTTTAAAAGCCAAACTTATACTTTCGCGACAACTTTTGAGAAATTAGCACTCATAATGCCAGTAAGATGGTCAAAAATTGATTTCTGCTCAGAGTTAACTGACTGTAGGTCTACTAAAAATTTGCATAGATCCGAATTATAGGATCATTTTTTGTGAAAATTAAACAAATTTAACACAGCTACTCTAATGAGTACCAGTAGATTCCACATTACATGTGTCACAGCGAAATTAACTACTTTTTTCAACATTTTATGGATGTTCCAAATTTGTAAAAATCCCGTTCTATGAAAGACTAAACTTTCCTTCAGAGAAAGGGGAACAAATAAAAAGATGCCCCTTCATTAATAGATACCAGGTATATATGTATACATACCGAATAGCTGTAATGATAAACAAGATGACTAGTGAGTTAATACATTAGACAAAAAAAGAAAAAGGGGAAAACTGAGAAGAAAACGGTTTGACTTATCAATTTCTCATTCACAAACAAGTTAGGTAAACTACAAACTACCTACCCTACTGTACCCTAAAAATCTATAAAGTCAAAAATTTCAAATAAGACAGATTAAGCGTACTAAGTTGGTTTCTTTTTTTCCTTAAATTAAAGAGGGAAAGGAAACACAAATTAATTGCACATTACTACGCATTTGAATGCCCTAGAAAAATGAAGATACATTATTTGACAGTATGGACAAATCCTGGGTGAGGGGAGTTGCCCTTAACCAGTATCCTCTCATTTCCGTACCAAACCTGGATTTATAAATTTTGCTTCTATTTTCGCATCAGTGTAAGGCTTAAAATATCAGTTACTGCCAATAATGCAACCAGTAGATGGAGGCTGCAGAAACGATGATCATTTTGGAATGATATAGATGGGATCTAGCTGCATTTTAGACATGATCTATTCTTTGTAGTCTACTTTACTTTTGCCTAGGTCACCAACCTGACTTTCAACTATTTTACGAAAGAAATTAGGCAGTGTTAAACAAGGAACCACTTAGGGAAGGGTTAACAAAGAGCAAAATTTTACTCACAATGGGGTAAAGTGTACAATTTGAAAATTCAGAGCTCATAAGCATTAAATTCAAATGTTGGAGGCAAAAAGCATGATGGAAAATTTCTGATCACAATTTCTCCCATGAGCTTAGCAGAGCAAAGGAAATGATACTCCTGAGCATGAGGTAGGTGCCTATGCAACTAAAATGTTAAATTTAACACAATCAAAATTTTGATTTAAGACCTCAAGTGGTTTTCTTAGGTTTTAAAAATATAGCTCCGGACAGACAAAAGTAGGTTTCAAGAACAGGAAATAAATGGAATCAGTTATCCTCTAGGGAACTTGGGCTGAGGAAAAATATGCACTTGTTTGCCTTCGCGTGACTGCAAAATTGAATCAGTTTTTTATGGTTTTTTCATTTTTAAATCTAACAACTGTTCTTGAAATTACAACTTTGATTCAAGGAAAACCAAGTTTTCACACTAGTGACAGGAAATGGGTTTTAAAATGATAAAATTTGAGGTAAGATATGTGTGACAAACAGAGAGTTCAAGCATTAGAGAAAAACTAAATAAAAGAGAACAGTGCATTAGAAAAATATTTCCAGACTCTTAATGACTTCTTCTTGATTAATTTGACATGAGGCGTTGGTTGCTACTCATATTAAACGGTTACCTTGGGGCCAGGAACCAACTAGAAGAGCATTAAAATTGCTTAATATTTTCGCAATTTAAATATCAAGGGTCATCTTAAAATTCCATCCCAGAGCTTTTAAATCTTGTTAAAAATTAAGTTCAATAAAGTTACCTTAACACTGACATGGATAATGGTTCCCTGAAAATAAAATTATTTGGTACAATTTTCATTCCTGAATATTTAGCCCTCTGCAAAATGATAGGGAGGGGAGAAGGAGATCAGCAAACCTTGAACATTGGATTACAAAAAAACTGCATTAATTCATTGAGAAAAGGTTTCTTATTGATAGCCTAAGTAAATCAAAAATTTTCGGGCAATATTAAAACATTTTAGAGGTGCCTAAATCAATTTCTTCCTTAAAAATCAAAAACTGATCTATAGAGTGTTTTGAGATAAGTCTCAGTAAAAAGAGGATCATGAATTCCAATTGTCAAGACTAACATCATCGTTTCACCTTAGAAAAATAAAGTTTGAGATAAAATAATGAATCGAGGCAAATGCTGATGCATGGTTTTTGATTTATGCCGGTCACAAGTGTTGGTGAAAGAGAGACAAAAGGGAGAGAGGTATTTTAAGCATCCTTAAATTATGCTCAATTTAAATTTGTTGAATTTTCGTACAACTAGGACACAAGACAATTTCACGCAAATTTAAGGATTAAAACTGAATAAGAAACAATAAAATTAAATACGACTAATTCACACACAGGAAAAAAGAAAGAGAGATATTATTAACATGAATTATT